TATATATAATAACTAACAATTTTGTTATTTTGTTTGTTTTGTAGGTAATTTTTAATAAAATAAAAATTTGAAATTTGTTAAGATACTTAATTAGACTTAATTAACTTAAGTTATTTAATTTGAATTTAATAACATAGAATTAATAAATATTTATATTATATGTGAGATATCAAAAAATTTAATATTTGGTAATTATAAAAAAAAAACTGAATTTCAAATTTAAATAATGTAATAATAATACTATAAAATTAATGTATTATTCACCTCACTATCAACAACAAGGATTATGTTGCTAAAAACAGGTTTGTTGACTATTCACCTAAATTTTTAGCAACAAGGACTATGTTACTGATAATGATCAGCAACATAGTTTTTGTTGCTGAAAAGTGGGGTACATGCATTCCCCTTAACTTTTAGCAACATAAGCCATGTTGCCGAAAATATGCTTTCAGCAGCATGGCCTATGTTGCTGAAAATGGGATTAAATTTATCCTCATCCTCTGGCTGCCGGTTTACCATTTATTTTCAGTAACATAAGCCACATTAAAAACATGTTTTCAGTAACGTGCCTTAAGTTGCTGAAAATTCCTTATCACTTACCGATAACTTTTGCTAGATTCCAGTGGAAAATTTTACCAACATGGAGCACGTTGCTAAAACTATATTTTCAGCAACGTGCATTATGTTGCTGATGTATTAGCAACAATTTGCTTGTTGGTGATGCATCAGCCAGCAAAGTTTCTCCAACAAGGCTTTTACCAACAAAAACCATGTTGCTGATGGACTTTCAGCAACATGGGAGGCACTTTTAGCAACATGCTTCCATGTTGCTGAAGGTAGAAATTTTAGTAGTGCAAGGAACCAAAAAATATTTCATCAATCAGAGCCTAACATGGATAAGTTGCTGGAACTCATCCAATTGAGATCCTTCTCATGGATCAAAGCAAGAAAGGTCAGATGCTCCTTTAATCTTTTGGACTGGCTGAATAATCCAATTACATGTCTTACTATTAACTGTGGGAGAAAAATTGAAGGGGGGCAAAAAAGAAATGGTGTGAAAGAGAGAGTGTATTAATTAAATGGGTGGTTTTTGGGTGTAATGTACTAAGGGTTTGAGTAATCCTTGTCCTTAATATATCAATAAAATTGTGATTTTGCTGATAAAAAAAAAAAAAAAACTATTCTTTCTACCATTATCATCCTCTCTGTATTACTCTTTCTTAGTCATTCATCATGTGACTATCTATCATAACATATTTATTTTTTTGACCTCAAATTTCCTCCTTTTCTCACTATTTAATTTAAAAATTTTTAAAGTTAAAATATAGAAAGCATAGACTATTCGTATTAAAATGGAGTAACTTTTGAAGTCCTTCAAAATAATAGATTAAATTTTCCAAGTAAAAAATATCATTTATTTGTAATTGTTTTTCTCAATTAATCTTAATCCCTTATTCTCTTCTCTCTATTGTTCTTTCCTAGTAATTTCTTTTCATATCTTTTCTGTCATTTTATATTAGTGTTTTGAAATCTGAATCGGTTTAACTAGAACTGATTTTAAAAATGGTTGGAGTTATAAACCTGGTATGAGTCAAGACTTGGTCAAACCTAGTCAACACCTGCCCGAACCCAATAGCGTCTGGTTGATCCAAACC